TTGACATCAGGAGTGGGTCCTCTCTAGTACTCAGCTGCAACATGCACCACATCACAAAATTCTTCACACTGTACCTTTAAATAAATATACAATATTGTAAATGTATCTATTTTCAGTGCGTTTACTATTTACTGTAAAATAGTTATAAAAGGTGTGTGCAAGTATTCCATTCAGGCTTCAGATACTCATGACATCCTCCACCAGCCTGTTAGGGAAGCCTGTTTTTAGCCTGAGAAGCAAAACCCAGTGTAGTTCTGCAAACATTTCATGCAGCAGTGGCTCCTGCTTGTTAACCTCATTGGTGTGGGCACACAGTAATAAGTGTGGGTTCCATAAATGAAAAGATCAGCATTGTTACACTCTCATCTGCAACATGATGATAAGACTCCAAGAGAACACTGTGAGGTTCCGTGACATATACTTGGGTATCAACCTTCAACTATAAAAATGAGCGGACATTGTGTTGGAGGTGGAACATTGTGTTGGAGGTGTTCAGAAATAACAGTTGAACTGCTTAACTGACTTTGACTCAAAGATGAACTGATAACATTTTGGTGGTCAAAGGTCAAAAGGTCACGGTCACATGGCCTTATGTATTTTTTAAAACTCAATAGGAATGCGCAAAGGGAATTTCCTCATTAGACTCAAGGATGACTTCAATAGAATTTGATCGCTAAAGGTGGCACAAATTACTTGGACTCACTGATTAACTAATATCTCCAAATTGCTTTACAAAACAATACGCAGCTTTGACTCTTCATTCAGCCACTTCTCATGGGCTGAAGACTGAAGATCAGTACGATTCTGTCCATCAGAAGTCAAATGAGTGAGTAAAAAGAGTGTCAGTTCAAACCGTGTCTTCATGTGATGCAGTGGTGGAAATCAGTCATTCACAATGAGTGACATTTCTAGTTCTTTCATTTTTCCAAAACATTCTTACTGTGCTTGATCAGAAATGCAGGCCTTGTTTATGTGCTGGGTATTGAGCGTTGTGCATTTATTTCTTCCCTGCAAGTTATTCGCCCAGAGGAAAGAGTGAGGCAACAAAGCATGTTGGCAGCAAGATGAAGGCATACTGTACATCTGGAAGTCTCATTAGTTCTCCTGCACACTCAGTCTGTCTCCTGCACTGCTTCCCCCCACATCATCAAACCTCCCTCTCTCTCCTTCATTTTCTCTCTTCCTTTTCTCAGCCACGTGCCTCTCTGCATCTGGGACACTGTGTTTCTCTTGCTCCACCAAGCTTCAGCTGTTTGTGCCAACAATGGATCTCAGCCCCAAAACAGCATGATGACAGAATATTCTGACATCATTTCATGATCATGGGCAATACACTTATTTGATGTCTACATAGTACATGGCTGTTTTTCAATTTATCCTATGCCTTACAGGAGAAAATACAATTATTAAATGTAATGATGGATGACATGATGTATTTTCACAATTGCAACAAAACTGTGGCATTTAAAATTGGCATTATTTTGTATTATTTTGTATTTTATATGACTCACAACCCCAGTTAATATAGACAGTCACTTATCACTCTAAAAGGTTGGACAGTTTCTTGCTATATTCTCAAACAGTTGCAGTTGTTTGTGTCTTTGATTCCACAATGTTGTAAACTTTGCTTTGATATTGCGCTCCGTATAGACACGACTGCATTACAACATTTCTGCAGTTATGTCAGCTTTATATTATAAATATGCCAATCTTCTGTTCGACCACATCCCAGAGGTTCTACTGGATTCGTATCTGTTGACTTGTTGACTTGTTGGTCACTGAAATTCCCTGAACTCACTGTCAAGTTCACGGAACCAGTTTGAGATGACTTTTACTTTGTCACATGGAACATAGTTCTGATTGACTGTATCTGCCCAGTGTTGTTTTCTCTTTGATTTACCTTTACTCTAAATTTGTATTTCTAACACTGCATGGCGTGACAGAGGGCCAATCAGCTGGCCAGGCCGTGGTGGTTCTGATGATGTTATGCGCCTACTTAATGCTATATTGCTTTACCAGACGAAGACTGTGTCTCATTTCAGATACTTCCTTTAGTACAAAGCAAAATACTATTGGATACAGTTTACAGCTACAATGTTTTGTGGCTGGAGATGGAAATCGAAAGTCTTTTCTCAGTAGCATGTGTGTGCTGGGAGGATGACCTCATCTGGTCAGAGTGTTTATAGAGCAACGTCAGCCTCGTATCCCCTGATTGTTAGCTCGACATTGTGTGTGTTGAGAGAAGTAGGGGGTTAAGAGAAAGAGAAAATAGATATTTTGAAACTTCCAATCAAGAAGCACATCATCTGTAATGTACTGTATGTTGAAGTGCGTCATTGTTCAATTCAGTACAATTGTATTTGTATAGGACCAAATCCCAACTATCTCAAGAAACCTAACCTGGCAGATTCTGGCAGAATCAGACTAAATGTGGGCGGGCATCTGCCTCGACCGGTTGGGGTAGGCAAAATGGGGAAGCGAGGAGAGATGGGTAAAAAAGAGGGGAGAGAAGAGAAGGAGGGGCAGAGAGAGAGAGAAGGGCTCAGTAAGGGATGGTTCA